TAGTAAAAAGTAAAGAAAAGGTAGATGGGCTTAGTATTTACTTTACTTTTGTGAAAAATGTTGAATCACAGCATGAAAATTAATTGTCCTGGCAAAGTTTGATTCAATACTTAGCCTGGCTAAATTCATAAGACGTTCCTGAGACATTGTAGACCTTAAATAATTCTTAATCAGCTTGAGTTTGCTAAATGACCTTTCTGAAAAAGCTATTGTTGCTGGAATTGTTAATAGTATTCTTAAGCTAACACAAACATTTGAAAACAGGTCACCAAGTCTGTACTCTGTTAACACGTTCAGCAGATCTAATGGCTTTAACTGTGCATTTCCAAAATTTGCTTTATGTACTGAGGGTAAATGTTACATTTCTTTTCCAAAATCATCACCGTTAAGGTCAGCAGGATATTACTCTGATAAAGATAAAGCGTTTCTCTCCACATCACTTTCAGACATGGTGAGATATTTTCACAATAAATCAAATTTTTCAGCCAACTGCTTAACAGCATTGAAGCAGACATTGCTATAACATTGTCTACCAAAACGTAAAACAAACACTTTCTGAAGTAGGCCTCTTCTAGCGTATAATCTGTGTCATTCATTTCCTCCAAGTTAGTATCAGGTGTGTTGTCATCATGTGACCTTGCCCTCTTGCGCCTAACTCCACCACATCTATGGGAGAGTTCTATTTCTATCTTTAGGTTTGACGCAACCAATTTGGCTTCATTCCACATGCATTTCCAGTTGTTTTGAAGTTTTGTCAGATCTGTGAGGAGAGTTTCTAGGTTCGTTACTTCAACATCCAGTGTGGCATCTCTGGCTTGGATGACCTTGTTGCAATTATCTATGCCAGCTAATATTTTGTACCACACAGCTGACATTAACAGACCTCCATGGATTTCATTTCTTGTATTGGCCGTCAAATTTAGTTCTAGGAGGTCTTATAGTGCTTATTTAGTGCCAGGGAAGTGAGCTGCAAAAGGCTTTACAAATTCAACGCAATCTGACCATTTTGTTTCAGACATACCATGAAGAAAACAACAAATACGGTTTTGTAGTGATTCCCACTGCTTGGGACTGGAACTGAACAAGTGGCACACAGTTTGAATTGTTCAGGTGTGCATTCAGCAGCATCATTTCTGCATAAGTTTGATTGTGTGACAACTGCAAGTTGAAAAAATTGCTGTTGAGCATTGTTCTTGTATTTTTGCTTGAGTGCCGTTGTATTTCCCAGCCATATTTGCCGCATTATCATAGGCTTGAGCTCTACAATCACTGAGAGGAATAGCATGTTTTTTCAATGTATCAGTTATCAACTGAGCAATTTCTTCCCCTCTTTTGTTGCTACAATCTGCAACCTTGAGAAATCTTTCTTAAATCTTATACTGCGTTTCTTTTAAAAGTACATATCTCAAAAGAAATGTTGTTTGTTCAATATGGGAGGAATCTGGTGTGGCATCTACTATTACTGCACAGTACTTTGCAGACTGCCTCTTAAGCAAAATGTGTTGTTTCACAAGATTCGAGCATTCTGCAATAAATTCATTTTGTGAGTCAGGGGACACATAATGAACTTGAAACCGCTCACTGCTTTTCTGTGACTTCTCTACACTTAGCATATGTTCCTGAAGGATGGGGTCCCACCTGGAGAGCAGTTCAATGGGTCCTAAGAAGTTTACATTGTTTTAATCACTAATTAGATGGGATGAACCAGTAAATGCCAGACAACATCGATGATATGCTTTAAAATATTGTATCATTTCACAGCTTCAGTTTTGATTGACGCTTTTAAGATGGTGTCAACTCCTGTCTCACTACTGGTCTCCTTGAGG